GGGTTGCGATCCCATTGCCGGACCCGAAAAAAGACAAAAAAAAAAAAAAAAAAAAAAAAACAGCTATAAAGTGGATCTTTCTGGGAAGTAAGATTAAAGTTTGTTTTGTTTTTTCTTTCTTAAGGATTTTATTTTTTTCTTACATTTTTTGCCTATAAATAAAATCCATAACTTTTGTAAAAACAGAGGGGAAAAAAGGCCCTTCTAATAACTTTTAAAACATCTGACAAATGATTTCACACTCCAGTATGGATTTCCAAAGTCCCCAAATTACAAAAATACAGTTTTGCATCAAAAGCTGCTTTGAGTTCTGCATGACACCTTGAGCCCCACCCAGGGTTGTGGAGGGAAAAAATGAAAATGAGCCAAGATCAACCCACAGCAGCAACCAGGGAGGCAGGACAAGGCGGCTCTGTGCCGGAAGGTTCCGGGAGCTGCCAGGTCCAGCTCTGTGCCTCGCTGGTTCTGAGACCCCACCGGGCAAGTTGTCGCCTCTCCCTAAGTCTCTGCGTCCTCGTTTGTAAAATGGTCTGAAGAGGTACCGACCTCCGGGATTCCATGGGGGGCCTGTTCCATCCCTCCTCCTCCCAGGAGGTGGTTCTGCTCTTCCCACAGGGCTCAGACCAGGGACATGGCATCATCCTCACTCCTGTCCTTCTGGCATGCTCACATCCAGGCCCAAAGCAGGCCCTGTCCCCTCGGCCTCATGACGCATCCTAAACCCACCTGCCTTTCATGGCCCTTCCCTGTGCAGGCCCCACCATGAATCACCAGGATGCTGCCCGGGCCTCCACCCGGGCCTTCTGCTGCTGACAGTCCCCCCACAGCAGCCACAGGGGCTTCTGAAAGTCATAAATAGGAACACAGCCCTCCCCTGCTCACATACCCTCCATGGCTCCCTATTATCTCCCTAGTAAAAGCAAAATGCTGACCTTGGCCTGCATAACTGGATAATGCCCACTCCCCACCTCAGCATCACCCCCCGCTCACTCCGTTCCTTAAACACCCAAGCGTATTCCCTGCTCTGTTCCCTTTGCTTTAGACACTGTCCCCCAGCGCCCTAGGCTGGCTCCTTCACCCCTTCAGGTCTCTGCTTGGGTCCCCTCCTTGGGGAGGCCCCCTGACCCCGCTTGCTCGTCACTCCACCCTGCTTTTGCCATCTGTTGTGGGTTGAATGGTGGCTCCCCAAAAAGATGAGGAAGCCCTAACCCCTGGTACCCTGGGAATGTGGCCTTATCTGGAAATAGGGTCTTTGCAGGTGTAATTAAGAATAAGTGAATATGAGGTCCTACTGGATTAGAGTGGTCCCTAAACCCAATGACTGGTGTCCTTATAAGAAGAAACGGAGAGATGGCCATGTGACCACAGAAATAGAGACTGGAGAGATGCAGTCACAAGCCAAGGATCTCCTGGAGCCCCCAGAAGCTGGAGGAGGCAGGGAGGGTCCTCCCCCAGGGCCTCTGGAGGGAGCACGGCCCTGCCTCCAAAATGGTGAGATAACAAATTTCCATTGTGGTGGGTTTTTTTTTAATTTTTATTTTGGGGGGTGCTGGCTGGTATGGGGAATTTCCATTGTTTTACACCACCGAACATGTGGCACTTTCTTAGGGGACCCCAGGAAACAGATACTCTACCAATCTGTCTTTCTACATCTTCTTCACAGCACGGGCTGCCTTCTGCTACTTCCCCACTCAGGTCTGCTGGTGTTTTGGTCACAGCCACCTTTTCTGGGAGACTAGGGAGGCGTGTCCTGGTCCTCGCTATGTCCCCAGGGACCGGCATGAAGCCAGCACACAGGAGCAACACAGATGGATGTTGAGTAATAAGAAGGGTACAGAGCACACCAGAGTCAAGGGTTCGGATCCCTTTACCGCTAGCTGCCAAAAAAAGAATAAATAAAGAAATAAAGAAAGAAGGTACAGAGGGCAGCTCGGACCTGGTGTGAAGATGGAAACCCACCACAGGCACTGTCAGGTGACATTACTGCATTCGACCCCCATGGCGAGCCAGGCCCGCCATCAGCACCCCCAGTCCCCACACCCCCTCTGTACAGGGGAAGGGAGCGGGCACCATCACGCCCAGGTCAGGGAACAGGTGGAAGGAGCTCACAGAAGGCCGGTGACCCATGGACACTTGTCCCAGCATTATTGCCTTCAAGACTCAACTGCTCTCTTCCCCAAGAAGCAATCGCTGGCCGCGAAGGAGGAAGAGAAAGTCAAGCCTCAGCAGCTCAGTGTCACCCATACTCTCCAGTCCCCAACCCCACCCTCCTACTTCTCAGAAATGACCCAAAGGCCGTCCTCGTGGGGTGTGCCAGAAGTTTGGCGTCATTGGTGATGGCAATAAAAGTGGAGACGATCCTAATGTCCAACCACAGGGGACAGCTGGGAACACAAAAGCTCATTTGCTCCTGATGATTACAAACTGGCACTCAGCATCCATGTGGCCCACGACTGAATGAATCACAGCTCCACCACTCACCAGCTGTGTCACCTCGGGCAACTCACTTACTCTCCCTGAGCCTCAGTTTACCCTTCTGCAAAATGGGGTTAAGGACGGTCCCCAAATCCTGCCACCCTGCCTTTCCTCAGGACACCCGAGACCTCCCCGTGTTCTGTGGCCGGCTGGCTGAGAAACTCACCAGGATGTAATCGGCCCACATGTCCCGAGCTGATTTCAGGGCTGCCTGGCGCAACTTCATGACATGATCGTAGCGTGAGTCAGACCAGTGTTTGGGGCCCTCCTCATCCGGGTAGGACCTGCAAGGAGACAGCTGTGATGTGGGGAGCACAGGGCACTGTCACAGCCCAGAGAGGGCCTGAGCCGCCTTGGGGGTGGTCAGGTAGAGCTTCCTGGAAGAGGGAACACATGAGCTGATTTGAAGGCTGGGGAGGAGGGAGCGTGTCCCGGCCAGGTGGCACAGCATGTGCAAAGGCCGAGGGAAGAAAACCCGAGCAAACCGGAGGGAAGGAAGAAAGCCCAGAGCAGCTGGCCAGGGGGACAGGGCCTACAATACCAGGCAGGAATGTGCCTGACAGCGAAGGGGACCCGCTGGCAGAGAAGAACACAGAGCGGAAAAGACCTGGAGCCTGTCCTCCCAGGTTCAGAGTCTAGACTGGACAACAGGTAGGTGAAGAAATAAATCCCGAGGAACCGGGGGTCTGTGCTGCCCAGGGGCTTGTGAAGAAGCCAAACAGCAGAGCCAGGGCTGGGGAGAGACTGAAACTGGGAACAAAGCAGTGGCCGTCCAAGAGAAGGACAAGGGAAGGAGGGGGTTCAAGATGGAGGGCTGGCGGGAGGATCAGGGACCATTTGTGAAGCTGAGGGCAGGTCAGAGTAGCCAGAGTGGAAGGCTGCAGTCAGGGGCTGAGGGCCTGTGGTCTGACCTGGGGCAATGGGGAGCCATGGAGGGTGTGTGAGCAGGGGGTGCAATACAGTCAGACTGGGGGGCTCCGGGCAGGGCCTAGCACTCACCTGGGCTCCTCCGCCGGCCGCCATTCCACAGAATGGTAAAAACTCTTCACGGCCACCAGCCACTCCCGCAGCACAGCTGATGTGTTGTCCACATTGTGGTCTGTAGCCACCCTGCGGGCAGATGTCGACAGTCAGTGCAGTAGGGGAGACCAAGGCACAAGCAGGCAGCAGCAAGGCAACCCCGGCTCTGTATTCCAGCTCGGCTTTCAACCAGCTATGTAGCCCTGGGCAAGACGCTTCCTTTCGCCATGCCTCAGTTTCCT